AGTCAGTTATGAAAAGTGTGGTTAAAAAGCCATGTGACTTTTAATGTGAAAAAACTTCACATTAAATTGTGAATGATATCACAATTTAAATAATGTATGTAAATGTTTTAAATTCCCATTTTTCATTTGAAAAAAATTGTATTAATTCAGCCTGTTCCCCTTCTCACTGCTCAAATGTTCAGTTAATAAATAAATTAATTAACAAATTAAAAGACACAAAAGGAAAAGATTAGGAAGACTTATTTAATTTCCACATCCTATAGGAAAGGAGAGAGGGAAGGGGATTCCCAGTGGTCAATATTCTAGTCAATACTTTTGGAAACAGTTATGGGTAAGACAGGACTATAGAAGGTTACATATCTACAGATATGATTTGGGAAGTCGCTGCAGATTTCTCTACAAACTTTACAACATACTCTGGAGAGTTGGCTGTTTTAACTAATTAGCTTTACACATCTTAATTTTCTTGTTATATGAAGCACCTTAGACTACAGCGGTACAATAGATTTAGTGGAGGAATGCAGGATTCCTGGGCCAGACCTGCTTGCTTTGGCTCACCTGGAAAGGGGAAGGTCCTGTGAGAGGCCATCTGTTTGCACTTGCATGTGGTCAGCAGCTTGCTTGTCCCAGAACTGAGTGAAAATTCCTAGTCCCCATGTGTGCATTTCTGGCATGAAGCTGCAAGTGAGAGCAAAGACCAACACCCTGTGGCTCTGTGCCCCCCTTTCCAGCAGGGATGGGCCCAGGGCACATCCACCTGGGATCCTCAAGTTGGTGCTTTCTCTTTGTCTATTTGGCTATGGCTGTGCTGAGCTATTGGCTGTTTGAATAATTCAAATTCTGCCCAAAGAACTTGGGCAAAAAAAAACCTTAGTGGTTTCCTGGGCCTTCTCCCTCATTTTACCTTTTGCTCTTTGTAATTTCTTTTTACTCTCTCTGAACATTTATATAAACAACTTTCAAAATACAGAGTGACCCTGTCTCACATTGGAGGCCTGAGCACATGTCCACATTGAGCCTCCTCTTTGTCACTTACTGTGGGTGATCTCCCTGAAGCCTGTGACTGTGCAGTTGTTTCATCCTTTGCAGAGCCTCAAGGGTGCACAGAAGCTACTGCYTATCACAGCTAGGRAGRAGACAGATGGTCCTGTGTGTCTGAGGAAGGGAATTCTATGAACTCCATGCTGAGTCGCTCTTTAGCTTAGGCAGAGAGAATCTGTTCCTGTCAAGTTAGCAGAAGGGTGAAGGAGAAATAATCAACTTCTTTTCTTCTTTCATAAGTACAATTTTGCACATTGTTTTATCAAAATTTGAGTATACTTCATCTTTATCTTTATGATCCTGAATAGAATGAAGTCAAAATTCATGTGAATGGGCCAATGAAGAGTTCAGTTATGAGTACACTTGAATCACTACATAGTGCCTCTCTTCAGCTTTCCCTGGGCAGCTACTGCTGACCTGCCCACACTCGGCTCTTATTCTGTAGGTACTGCTGAGTGACTCATTTACAACTGTGTCATAACTTTATTTAACAACTTAGTAAGATCAAAAATGATACTTCTCACCATGGTATGTGGAGAACAAAATTAAACCATATACAGTGGCTAAAGAAAAAATATTCCACTCAACACTGCTCTGAGTGACATTAAGATTACCAAGTGTAGAAGAAATACTTTCCAAACACTGTCCCTATCGATGTAAAGGGGAAGTTCTACCTGTGTTCTTTGCTAATAACCCAACAGTGGAAGAAAACGGCATCCTTCAACTACAGCCACAGAAAGAGAGAGACAGGGGACGAGGCAGGGAAAAGYTGGCTGACTGCGCCCTGACCAAACCTGTCCCATGGATGTGCTTCATTTGGCGCTAGGCTGTCCTGGACAGGAGCCTGGGAGAGCTCCCAGGATGACTACGCACAGCCTGAGAGGTTCTGAGGATCCCAGGATAACAGGATTATGTGGGTCAGAAATAATTGCTTCATTCCATTAAGCAGGCTTTTCTTTTCTGGTTGGTTTGCTCATTTTCTCCCTTTTATTCTTTCCAATTTCTGGCCTCAGAAAACTTGCCAAACCCTGCGGCTGTCCCAGAGGCAGTGGCTGACACACCCCCTGATCTTGAACCTTTTGTAGGTATAGCTCAAAACAACTGTTAAAAACTCTTTTAAAAATCATCCTGCTCAGGCTGGGGTTGTGGCTCCATGGTAGAGTGCTTGTGTGAGGCACTGGGTTCAATCCTCAGCACCACATAAAAATATAAATAAATAAAGTTATTTTAAATAGTCATTAATTGTTTAAAAAAAAATTTGCCTGGCTCAGGCCCCACCCTTAAAGATTCTTAACTAAATCTGTGGTGGGCCCTGGGTGGGCATCTTCAACTCTTGAAAGAAATCTGATATGACTGGGCTTTGAGAGGCAGCCCCAGGCATGGTGGGAGCAGCAGCAGTGTGGCAGGACAGAGCTCCAGCTCTGGGACATCCAGATCCATCTTCCCTGTTCCATGGTGTGAATTATGCCAGCAGTAGGTTCAGGTCACAATGCAGACAGCTGGGCCTCTTTCCTCATGCATTGCTCTCTACACACGTGTCCCCCCCTTCCTTCTCTCCCCGCTGTCCTCTCTTGTCTCCCTTCTAGGCCACCAATGAATGGAGCCAGCAATGGACTGTAGCTTGTCCCATCCTTCTCTGCTGAGCTTGCCTCTCCTCACATTGAGGACTGAATAGTTGAGCAAGTAATCTGTGGGTCTCTTGAGTACAGTTCACATTTCTCCAAAGCAGTAGGGTCAGCAGGGACCTCATGCTAATAACCACTGTCTTTGCTCCTCTCCTGAGTGCTGCTCTAACCACGTGATATCATTCATTTAGAAAAGCATTCTTCTCAACTCTGCAAGTAATCAAGTATTAGGAATAGACTTGCCTCATAGCTTACAACAAGGGATGAGATTACATAATGCCCCTGTGCACATGATGACATCCAGACTATGATCCGTTCCCTGGGACACAGGCTCCACACTAGTGCCAGAGTCAGAGGTCTTTTTGTAATGGAGCTGCTTTATAAGCTTGGTATGATTCCTGTGAACATAACTAAGACATACATTTTACATACAATGATTTACTCTTGAAATAGTAGCACTGATAGAAAATAGTGTCTGTAATAGCTGGACATTTGGCATCTACAATTTGTCACACATTTACTCTTTTATACAAATGTTAGTAAAACTTGAGCACATACATAACCATGAGAGTATGATATCCAAATAGCTAATAAGCATGTGATAAAGGCTCAATATCACCATGAAGGAAAATGCACGTTAAAACTACAGTGAATGTGTAGACAGCCTCAAATAATAGGGCGTCATTTCTGAGGCTGGGTTACCAACGACTCTGGCTGTAGTCTTGCCCATCTCTTGCTCACTCACTTGCCCACACTGACAGAAGCCAGTGACAGGATGTGAGCAGCCCTGAGGAGAAGCCAGGTGGCAAAGAACTGAGGGTGACCTCAGCCCATAGTGAGGGAGGAACTGAGGCTCTTGGTCCAAAAGCACAAAAGGGACTGAATCCAACTAACAACCCCTTGAGTGAGTCTGGAAGCAGGTCCTCCCCCAGTTATCCCTGAGATGACAATAGCTGGAAGCCAAATCTGGATCACAGCTTTGTATGAAATATGTGCTATAGATAGCTGATACAGAATCACTGGAATGAGTGTAGTAAAAATGACATCAATACCAAGTGTTATTTGGTATTAACATTTGATAATAATATGGAGTAACTAGAATCCTTCTTCCATATGAAATCCACAGCATTGCCAGCAGGTCCAGACTATCACATGGTATATCTCTGATCCTTTCTGTTTATTGAATTTCTCCCAGGTGATTATATTGGGCCACACAAATAATAGGTTACCTCCCATCTCAGTCTTTAATCTTAATTCCATGTATAAATCCATTTGCCAGATTAGTTGATTTGTTCATAGTTTCTGGGGATTGGGACATGGACATCTAGAGGATGACACTTTCTGCCCACCACTCTAATATTTTCTCCTATGGATCTTCATGTCATTTTATTAATGATGTCCTTTGTAGTATAAAAGTCTTTCATTTTAATTTGTTCAATTAATTAATTACTTTTCCTTTATGGATTGTGCTTTTGGTGTTATATAAGATATCACTTAGCCTAAGAACACAAAAATGTTCCTGTTTTCTTCTAGAAATTCTTACAGTACCCGCCCCCTGACCTTTTTTTTAACACCAGGGATTGAACCCAGGGTAACCACTGAGCCACATCCCTACCCTTTTTTATCTTTTACTTAGAGAGGGTCTCGCTAAATTGCTCAGAGCATTGCTAAGCTGCTGAGGCAAGCTTTAAACTCACAGTCCTCCTGCCTCAGCCCCCAAAGCTCAGTTTTTATTCTTCAATGGATCTATGATTCATTGATAGATTGTGCTAGGTAAGGATCTATGCATACCTCATTAATTAATTAATCAATTTTGTAATCGGGTATTCAGTTCTCCCAGCACTACTTGATTAATTTTTTTCTATGTGTTGAAAATCAAATAGCCAATCTTGAAAGATTTATAATGAACTTTCAGTTCTCTTCCATTGATATGTATAACTACCCTTCCAACCATATTACAATGTCTTCTATCATGGGTAATCGAAAGGTTTCATATTTTTAAGAACAGTGTTCAGATTATTTCAGATCTCAAATAGTAATTCTGAACTGTTTTCTATAACTAAAAATAATAGGGGATAAAAGAAAATATAACTTTTATGCATTCATTTGGTAACTTAAAAATCCTTTGATTCTCTTAGATTCTCTTATAGGACTAAGTTATAAAAATGTCAGAAATATGGTATTGGTGTTCCATTAAATATCTTGATGAACAGTATGTACTTCTGTACTTTGAATCTGAACCAGGTGTTGTTGCTGCTGCTGCTGTTATTATATAATCAATTTCCTTTGTTTAAGTAACATTCTCAAATCTCTGATCATGCTTATTCCTTTCAGATCAACCTTTAGAATCTCGAAGAATCTTGAACAAGACAGTGCCAAGTTTACCAAACATGGACACCATTTTCAGGGAAGCCTTTGCAAAGATGCAGAAGCAGTACCCTGGGTGCCTGGCTCCAGAGACTTGTGTCCGTGCAGTCCAGGCCTCTGTGAAGTATCCCTATGAAGTGGGCATCAAGGAGGAAGAGGAGCTATTTATGTACCTTCGGGGATCAGGGCAGGCTAGAGCCCTGCAGTATGCTTTCTTTGCTGAAAAGAATGCAAGTAAATGGTCCACTCCCTCTGGGGCCTCATG